CGTAAAACCGAAGAAAAGCGAGTCGGTGGCCTAGCTTCGAAACGAGATTCCCGAATTACCCGGATTTCTCGGAAAAACCGGCATTTACTCGAGTCATTTGGGAAAAGGCGAGGCCGCAAATCGCGTGCCCCGCTGTGATTTATCCTCCAACGTTCTTTCGGAGGAAAAAGCGAAAAAAGCCGAAAGGGGAAGAGAAAGAGAAAAAAGGGGAAAAGAGAAAGAAGAAGAAGAAGAAGAAGAGAATTTCAGGCGGATGGGTGTTAAGCATCCACGATAGACGAGCTCGTGTCTGTTCCACGGACTGACAAGAGTGACAAAACGCCACCCCTTCGGGAAGACCGCGGGATCCGTCACTGGCTCCCAGCCAATCGAGCTTCCTTGTTTTCGCCCCCCGTGCTTGGAGCTTCGACATCTGATTGCAAATTACGTTCTCGGGGTTACGAGTTGTTTCCGCTGTTCCGCCATACCGGATCGATGCCTCTCGAAGGCGCTTCGTTTTTCTTCGTAAGCCCCTGGACCTCGTGAAATAATCTCCAACGTATCCGTCACGTTGGGATCGCTTAATTCGGGGATTCCTGCGAAGTCTACCAGAGATTTCCTAGACTTTGCCTGTCTGCGCTGTTTTTAGCTGTCGTGCAGTCATTTGTGACTCGCAGAGCAATCGCGCGAGAAGTTACGCTCGGGTTTTGAACGTTGGGAGGGAGACTGTTAACGAGAGTTGGTGAATTGAAACTATGGTTGGTTCGTGTAAAGCGCTTTGGTAATTGTTGGTATAATTTAGTGACAATTGGAGATTACAATGGAGAATAAAGAGAAGTCGGGGGATTAAAGACAGAGATCGCGCGATAGGGTAGCAAGAACAGGCAGCAATTTCAAATATGTTTGTATAGGGGGTGTTTTACAAGTTTATGTACTGTTTGTAAGTTTATGTATTGTTGGCGGTGCATTATGCAGGCGAATAATACCGCTGTATAAGTATAACGTTATAGGTATTTGGCTGGCAAATATTTACCGCAATCCTCTTTGCCAAATTAAAAGGAAGCAGTAGAACGACACAGTTGTTTCTGTTTATAAGAATCACGATGATTGAGAACACGACTGACAAATCGCATAAAAATTTATAAGATTTTCTGCGTAAGAAAGAAAAATGTTCTCTATCACAAGCTTCTTTCTTAATTAAGAAACGTACTACCGTCTTTGTCCGTAAGAAAATTCCATCTTACTTAGAAATGCAATCATAATATATTTAGTTTCTTCTAATTCTCTCTCGGGGGATAACCGACGGCTCGAAAATGTTTCGCGAGATCTGCACGGTACCTCGGAGTCGAAAAATGTGTTGCATTTCGGTCGGTGATTTGCGCGCGTCCATTTGCATTTTAACATTTCAATTTTGCCATGCAAATGACATTATGATCGCGAGGACGGCGTGTTCTTCTCTCCGTGGGCGTTATGGTGGCGATAAAAATCTGTCGGTACCTCACCACCCCCGTCTATTCTTCATTTCCCTTGGAAACCTTCTGAATCAGATAGCTTTCACGGCGGTTCTCATTAGTAAGAGAAACGCCAGCAAATATTTATAGATACCGTTCCGTGGCATTTACATTCGGCGAAGGGAAAGAAAACGTTGCACAATGACGCTTTGTGACGTTGCAACGGTACCACGAACTCCATTTCCACCCTTTCCACTCTTAATACGACCATCTTTCGCATTATTCGTCATCCCTTTTCGTTCTCTGTAACATCGCCAACCTTTCATTCGACTGTTACAACGATGCTTAAAGTCGTTCTCCATTCAGAGTTATTAAAATTCTGGAATATCAAACGCGAATGAATGACTTTTATTGTACAGGATGGCTCAATAAAACGACGCCAAATTGGTACAGCGTATTCCGCAGATTATACAGAAGAAAATGATTTATTACAGAGTTAGAATAAATAAAATAATCATTGTCCATCGAATAAGATCGCGTGATGTTTTTTACTCTCATAGCTATGCGTAATTATTTCTCGATAATACGACACTCGACGTTGTTATTTATTTATCAACGTGTAATTACACTGATCCCTCAATCTGCGCGGCACTTGTGTTACGCGGTAGATTATAACGCAATTTACGAGGTAGTTTTTACGCGCGATCTTAATTTACGTGGTCAGTCGCGTCAGTGTTGTATGAGATAAGAATAAAGGTACATTACGTTTCGCTAGTCATCGTATGTGTACATATTTTTCTCCGGTACTGACAGACTTTATTTACGCAATTTTTATTCGCGTAAAACGAATCCACGTTTCGAACGAAACTCCGCGTAAATGGAGGGGCGGGTGTATACCGAAATACGAAGTGCGTTTGGATTCAGAGCGTATTGAATCTTTCAAATCTCTCACTTCCCCTTATCGTACCGCGAAAATTTCATTAAATTGCCGTACTTTGATAGTTAATACCATACTCGACAAAGCACTTCAGGGTTTCAAGCACCTGAGCTTCAACTAGATCAACTCTCCAACTTAACGAACTTATCCTAACTTTCACAAAATATCAAGTGTCTGCGAGTCAGACTCAATTTGCCACTAACTAAACCACATTGAAACATTCATAAAATCTTGCAGTTCCTTTAACGTAAAAACGTCGATCTATTCATTTCCTTTATTAATCTATCTTAGCCTTTAGTCTTTCGTTATCCTGCAACTTTTAAACCACTAATGGATCACCTAAGAAGTTTAAATCGGGCAATCTTTAAATCTCGAAAATATTAAAGGAAAATCAGCAGAACAGTAGAATTTCAACGAATATTTCCATATTAAAGTCCGCGTTTATATATATAATTTAAGAGAAATGAAGAAATTAAATACATACGAAAATTTTCATTAATTCGCAAAATAAAAAAATATTGAAATTTCCAAGAAAGGCAGACGATTTTGTTCGTTCGTGATAACCGTGAAAGGAAGAAGGGATGCTCATTACGTCAGCTCGTTTTGTCGTTGCAACGCGACCACGGACATTGGGAAATGCAAATAGAGAGCAGTTTGGAGACGTCGGAGGCTCTTCGACGTTAAACTCGAGAGTTAATGCATTCGAGTATCGCGGCGTATGCAAATACGCGGCAAAGAGGCCGCAGCAGCACAGCACACGGGCAACGTAGAGGCGCGGCGTCGATTGTCGACGTCGCGACGCGCGTTATGGAAATAAACGCGACGCCAGCCGGATACGATGATATTACGAATTAGATGGGCCGATAATAATTTCCGGCTGCGCGACGATGAATCGACAATGCTTTCGGGTATAATTAAAGTGCCGAAGAAACATAAACCTGTTTCCTTACCAAGTTTATCGGAATTTTGAATATTTTCCACGAATACTCTATGAATTTTAAAACTCTTTCACGAGTCTGCGCAAGTAAAGAAGATTATTACTCGTATCTCTGTACAATTAATTTCAAATTACTAACAAAAGTAACAAGAGATTCAGTATAGACGTTCAACTGAAAAATCTCAAATTTTTAATATGCATAAGAGTTTAAGAAGCGTAATATACATTCATCGATTCAGTCCAACCTCTCAATCTTTCAACGCATATATTTTTCCTCGGTATATTCGTGAAAGTGATCAATATTTTTATAATAAAAAATCTTATATTGCGAATGGATGTACCATATATTTTGTATAAAATATTTAGATATTTTAATATGTACATAAGATATCTATCATACTAATAAAAGATAGCTAAGATAGCTATCATACTAATAAAAGTCAACGACTAAAATAATCGGCTAAACTAAGAATAACTCATTAAGTGGTTGATAAAAATCAATATTGAGACGAAAAGTTAAAAATAGGTTGTTCGAGCTACCAAACTGAATAATATAAAAGAAAAATATGTAAACTATGGATCCTGTTCATGTTGCAAAGTCTCGCGTCCCGAATCTAATAAAGGTTGCAATGTTGGGGGGATTCATTTATTTCCATTACCGTCACGGTCGATTAGTGGAAATTCCATCCAAGCCAGGTTAGTTATTACAGGAACGCTGTCAGATAATCGAACTTCAGATAAATGCTGCGGCGGCCTGCTATGTACGTACGGACGTACCGCGTATATTTGCATGCGTGTAAACGTCGACAAATTACCTACGCTCGAATAATGTGTCGGTCCACGTTAAACATGGGAATTGCGGCGGGATCTAGCTTGCACTAAATTTGCTAATAACCATCAGTATTCTATGGACACTTCGATTTATTGGTTCACGCTTTGGTTTTTTTCTCTCTCGTCGATAGGATGGCAGAGAATGGTGAAAAAAGAGGTACAAAATAGTACGCCTCTGACCAACGTCGAAAATTGTTGACTGTTAGTTTTCGAACTGATTCGTCCGACGAGCGATTAACCGAGAGAATTTGAAATAAACCAACCAAAAAGCGAGAGATTTTGATTTTTCCTATGGAATCCTTTCTTATGGAATTTTGATTTCGTCGATATAAACGAAATATATAAAGTTCTAAATAAGGTATAATATAATATGTTGTTTTAAAGAGGAATTTATGGACTTACAATAATCATTTTAGGGAGGTAGATTATAAAGTTACAAACTTAAAGTGGAGATTATCAGAGACGGCATAAGTTGAAGTGGTTTAGGTCGATGCAGATTGAAACACTAAGTTATGACCATATTTTCTATCCCAAACGATGGATATCTCTAACTCGCTCTGGTTAGTCATGTATTCAGGAATTTAATTAACTTATTAACAGGCAAAAGCTTTTATGACCTAAATTAAGCTTTTTCTGACCGATGATTTCCGAAATTTTTCCAGCGAGGCTATTAAAGAATACAAAAAGTTGTGATTTTCTTCACCTACAATTTTGCGCAATACCTTCCTTTTTCGACATTATTTATCAAAAACACGATCATACTCTCGAACTTTCATAAATAAACGTATATTTTCTTTGTCACGCGAAATTTTCTGCAATTAACGCATTCGTACGACTAATGAAATTCAACATGATGTTCGAAAATTTCATATAAAAAGTTTGCCAAAATAACATACTAAATAATCCTTTGCTTCCTTAATTCCATTTATCAAGGAGTAATCACGTTGCCGTGTTTCCTCTTGGAAATTTCTGGAACGATGGGTCACGTGTAAAAGTTCTTCCGCTCGAAGTAAGGAGAAAAAAGGAGATCCTCCTTCGATCGACGTATCGTAACAGGTATCCGTGATCTCTGCTAAAGTTTCACGGGAGAAAATACGCCCCTTAAACGCGTTATCAGAGGCACTCGGAAGCAGTGGTAATTAAATAGAGTGACGTAGTTGGGACTTTGCACGAAGGTTGCAGCTTACCAAGACCGAGGGGTCGACGAACCGCGTTGCTTTCGTTGCACTTGAATGCATTAGCTCAGCTTAAAGTCGAGATGGCGACGACTACGTCTCATTGCATTTGCATTTACTGCAGTGCCCACACGCATTTGCATTTAGTTACGAATCATTGCGGGGAGGAGAGGGCGCGAGCACGCGCATGTCCTAGACCACCCTCTTCCAGAGATCTTTGTCGCTTTCGACAAAACTTGGGAACACGTATATACTGTCACGTTCAACAAAGTCTGGCCTCCCTTTTAAAGTCAACCACTTTATTCTCGCACCCGTAAAATTTTGATTTACGGACCTCTGATTCGCCACGGAAAAACCAAGGGATTATGAAACTTGCGTGGAAGACTAAATGTAATGCATAGTAAAGAGCGTTGGGATTATCCTTTCTTGCTCTTGGATGGTTGGGAAAGTTAGAAAGGAGTTAGTTTTTTTTTTAGATAATATGGATGAACGCGAATGTTTGTATAAAAGAACTTTTTAATGGATGTTTGTTTGTATTTTTGAGGATGGGCTCTATAAATTTGAAAGAAAATAACGTGAATGACACAATACGTAATAGAAATATCTGTTTTGTTTATGCTTTTCTTCATTAAAGATACCTACTTTTTTGAAGTTAAATCATCAAACTAACCTCTTCTATATGATAATTATATGTATGTGCGGCACATACGTTTGATCGAAATGATGAAGCGAAAAAGATTAACATATCCTAAAGCAGCTAAAAGCTGAATGCTAAAATAATGTCGCAGTCATTAAATGTCAGCAGTTAGAATTTTTCAAACTGATCTTTATAAATTTGAGACAAAATAACGTAAATGAAATGTCACAAAAATGCTCGTATTGCTCGAAGATATTTGTCTTTTAAAATTTGGTTATCAAACTAACCTCTTTCGGACAGTACATGCACATATATACGTATGTATAATGGAACTAATTAAGCGAGGAAAATGAATGTATGTACCTGGAAGAAACTAGGAGCTGAAGATTGTGAAGATCCACTGGCTATGTTATCGTCATTTTGTTGAAATATTGTAGGAGCGAGAGATGCTTCTTGTGATAACACACGAAACACAACATTTGCTATTACATATTATTTTATATATTAAACCACGGTTTATACGCGTTTAAACACAGTAAAAGGAGTTAGTATATGCAGTAAAACACTCTGATGCTTTATCAATTAAGAGAATTCAATCATAATTAATGCGCATTTCCGAAAAATACCACAAGTTTTGCAATCGACAGAACGAACTACGCGGATTGGATATTACATGGCTACCGCAGCGTCTTACGGAAATCGAAAGTTTCCGAAGATGCCCGAAAGGAACAAAGCCGACTTAAATTTGCTAAAGTGACGCTAAAAGCGCGGGAAAGTTACGTCGGACTGCAAGGCAAGCACGGTTTGCTTTCCATAATTTGATCAAATTTTCCTTAGATTAAATGTTACTTTTCATAAAAATTTGCGAGAAAATAATAATTTAATCGAAATGTGATAGGAAGGATATAGTATGGTACGTGTAAATACAGTGTAAATACAAGTATGAAGCATATATGTGATGACCATAGTATGTCGTTCGAGAAACTGTCACCAAAAACGTATACGGTTAGGTATGTATATCGAAGATTTGCTTTAATTAAAGTTGATAAATCATGCATATCAGTATTGATATACTGACGTGTTAAAAATAGTTTGAAGATAGATTCTTAAATATAAAACTAAAGTTGTTTTTAAAAGTGTTTGTAAAAAATAAAACTGTAAGAGGTTAATTTTTGTCACAATCTAATCTTACAACTTAACTTTATTTATTTTGCAAACATTATAGAGGTTACCTTTTAGAGTAGATTGGCTCACACTTCCTCCTTTGAGAAAGAGTAAGGAAAAAGAAAGACAGTTTTTATATTTTACTGTCGATGTTTTGCTTTTATTAATTCGCTATCCTTTCAGCAGAAACATTTTAATGGCTGCCACTCGTGTTGACGGAGAACGATTTTACGCCGCTTATTTTCAAGCGAGGGGAAAATTGTGTTATTAAGACGTCAACTTGAATCACCATCTTCGCTGCAATTCGAGGGAGCAACGGGGTTTAAAATATCAGGCGATATATATTTCACGGTAAGAATTCACATTCTCTGCATTTTTTTCGATCCTTGATTCTAATTAAACGCGAACGATAAAGAAAACGAACAAACAGGAGAGGGGAAAAAATAGGAACAAGAAAAATATCACCGTTCTTCATTACAAGCAAACGAGGAAAAACGCGTGGCTTTAATTCTCGAGTTTTTATCGGAACTCGATGCTGTAAACTACATATACAGGGTGAATTGTAAAAAATGGAATATACAAGTACCTCATTTTTAAATTTACCATAGTTGAGAGTTATGAGAATAAAGAAATGTAGTTCTTTTGTAGATTCTAGATTTCAATTTTTAAGAAATAGTATAATATTTAAAATTTAATACGAATATCTAGAAATTTGGGAATTTAATAAACCAAGAACTGAAAATATGGAAAGCCTGGAAATTTTGAATATTCGATTACATTCAAAGTTTTTTTTATTGGTCATGACATTTGTGTTAAAAAGTATTGAATAACAAAGCACCCTGTATATCCTTTAATAGACTCGACAAAGTGCGCCAGTGCAGAATAGATTGATAATTATTATAGAGAAAATAATATTCCCCATTGCTCGTAATCCTGCTTTTGCAGCGAAATAGATACGAGAGAACGAGCCCAAAGCGATCTCTATTCCGTGTAATTTCAATAACTCAAATATTAAATACGCTCCGCGAGTTCAGTCGTTCGATTCTCCCTATTTCTAGATATAGTATAAAATTTATTTTTAATCTAGAACTCGTAATTTCATATATTTGATCAGGATTATACATATACGGCGGCTCACAAAAATATTTGAACACTTGTAGAAACTTTTTCTGAATATGTATATTATATAAAATATTTTGCACATGATATAACCATCATGGTCACTCACATTGAGAAGGTTTGAAATAAATTCGAAAATATACATAAAAGTTAAAGATACTTATTGTAAACGTACATTTAAAAAAAGTCACAAAATTATTAAATAGTCAATTACTCTACCATTGTATTGTATCGCTAAGTAAATTTCAAAAAGTTTTTTATGACACACATAATACATTTCTAAAAATTTCCTATAATAAATGTTCAAGTTACTTTCGTGAGTCGCCGTATATGCTCGTATCCCGGTTATTTTCAATAATTTAGAAATAATTTTGAAGAGATGGTACTTTTTAATATCGGCGTATGATGCGACCGTACTCGTAAACGAGAGTTCCCCATTTCCAGTCTATGCAAATGCTTTCGAGGTGGCCTCGAATTCAGTACGACATTAATAACGTTTCACTTCGTTCAAAGAAAAGGATTCGAGATGTCACGTCGCCAATATCTGTCGTTCGATTTTTTAAATAACCAGTTTCCGAGAATGGAAACGGCGAAGAATCGAGATCTACCGTTCACTGTATTCAATGATTTTCGCTTTGAACAATTTTTAATACCGCGTATCTATGTATAAGAGGAAAACGCATGGAAATTTTTAATATTACGAAAGACTTCATTATCGCAGCAAGGCTTTTAGTTAAATCACTGATTTCCATGGGATATTGTTAGAGATTAATACAGAATATTGATTTCTTGAAATTATAAATTCTACGATAAATGTCTCTGGTCTATCTGGAACAAGACACGTATTAATAACGAGAGAGTTGGATAGAAAAAACTTTGTAGGAAAAATTAATTCTTCAACAGAAAGATGTTGCAAAATGTTGCGAGAGATCATCGTCTTACTTCTTCGAATATTTTCAAAGAGATTTTGTCTTAGTAATTCCCCGAGGATTTATGTTTCTTTTACTCATCATAAATCATTAAGCGTGATACAATTTGTTATAATTCGTTTGAAAATAATTTTTACGTAATACCATTTAAATCCTCATGATATTAAATATCTTCATAATCCTTTAAGGTTTAAATTATATTAAGACGATTTATACAAGTAGTAACTTTCTTTTCTTGTCCATGGTAAATGAACAGAATTTTCTGTCTGGAAAAACGATGCCCTTTGACGTAAAAGACAGATTCAGCTTTGCATACTTCGACGTTAATCCGTTTTAATGCCACAGAAGATTCGTGATAAAGAAGGCGTATCCGTTGCTTTTATCTTTACAGTAATAACTATAGCCTGTTTTATCTGTATGCCTGTTTCTAATCTGAAATTTTCATATCTTTTCAAGTCATTAGTAAGAAGCGTTTCTCTTGATGCTTTAGAGATGTTATTATTATCGATTCTAGTTTTTCTTTGGATTACGTGATTACCTATACATGTACATGTATATCTTTGTAGGTACCCATATAGCTACAGTATCACATTTTACAGTGAAGTTATGAACATTTAATGAAAAATCTACGGTTTGTGTCAGTAATTTCCAAGACTTTGAAATGACTGTATAATTACACTTCTGTTTTTGTAAGTTACGTCTGAGAATATCATAATCTTTTTATACGTCAGATTGGGTAAGTTTCATGGAAATTAAAAGTACAAAAATTTCTGTGTTAAACGAATTAGCTGGCAGCCCTCTTTTGCTTTTTCTTGACTAACAGAGAAGGAAAGATGTAGAAGGTTAAAGATTTTAGTTTCGACGCTGGTAAGATGGGGTAAATCTCATTAAAATCGCAGTACGAGTTTCACTCCTTTAACTCGGAACAAGAAGAAAAGACTGGCAATTCGAAAGTATCGTTAATGAACTTCGTCCGTAAGAGAAAAGCTTCATATACTCCATCCATCTCTGATACAGTTATAAGCGCGTGTTTACAATATTTCGTCCAAGACTTGACAAATGAAAGTTGGGAAGAATAATTCGTATGTTTTATCGCAGTTTCATTCTTCAA